GCATTTTTTATGGTCTTTTTCAATTTTTCCGTACTTTCCCCGCTGTCTAGAGAAAAACGGACTTTATTACGTGATTCTACGGTATAAAATTTATAAGAAACCATTTGTAGTTTTGGTTCCACACCATGGGCCAAAATCGACCTATTTTTAACATCCTCCTTTTTTACTTACGCTTTTTGACACAAGAAAAATTTCTAATGTCTACGATAGATACATATATACTGGATATAAAGTAATGGCAACACCTGTTTCCACTTTGCGTATGAACAAGTGAGGGCAATTCTGTTCTTAGTATTTACACTAACATTATATTATTATACATATTATATACTTTACTCACTAGTGCATTTGTAATATCTTCAATAATTTCACTTATTTAATTATTTCTGCAACTTTTATATATGCAAAAGGTTTTTAGGTTTTAAATATAACTTAATCCCGTTTTCACAAAATTATGACTTATCACCTTTTTCACCCTCACCATCTAATGGTGATATAATAATAAGTAAGTAATGGTAATATTATAACATTATTTTTATTAAAGATATAGTTATCATATATATTTCGTTGTAACTAAAGAATAAATAGCGTGCTTAGCGCGCGCTTGTGTCTAGTTTAATAAAAAATTACTTTTATATATATATATATATATATATATATATATATATTATATATATACACACAGGGTGTCCCAGACTTATCGTAACATCCGTTAATAACAGATTCCTGTGATCATTTGGAGACGAAAATGTTAATGCCAAAATGTCGAGGCTGCTAGTTTTTGAACAGGAAAGGTTTAAAATTCACCAACCAGCTTGTCAAAATTTCGCACTCTCAGGAACATCTCATATCGAAAGAGCCCTTCCACAACACTTTACTCAGCTTGATAGAAATAATAATACCTGACATATCGTTCACTTTATTTCTTTGTACACTATTGGCAAAACTGAAGAATTTTGGGATGATAATAGTTTCTAAATTGTCGTATAAAAACGCGATGCATGTCGAACTGTCAAAGCATTCGTGTGAAACGTGCTATTGACAAATGACATTTCTCTTGTGATGAGAGAAAATCAATATCAATCGGTACGAAGTATGGTTTATTGCATGAAATGTCAATAAGAAAGATCGGTAAGAAAAGAAAATACTAACATGTTTGGAAATATATTTTTATTTATTTACTTGAAGGAACACGAACAAAATATTCGCTTTTTTTTCATGCAGTAGATCATACTTTATACCGACTGTATTAATTTTCTCTCATTACATGAGAAACGTCATTTGTCAATGGCACGTTTCATAAGAATGCTTTGACAATTCGACGCGCATCGCGTTTTCATACAATTACTATTATCATCCCGAAATTCGTCAATCTTGCAAACAAAGAAATAAAGTGAACAATAATTTCAAGTATTATTATTTTGATCAAGCTAAGTAAAGTGTTGTGGAAGAGCCTTCTCGATATGTAACGTCCCTGAGCGCGACAAGCTGATTGGTGAACTTCAAACCGAATTTGCCATTAAATGTTACGGTAAGTCTGGGACACCCTGTTATATATATATATATATATTTTTTTTTTAGTATTTTGCTCTCTAATTATATTGTACATTTAAAAGGATAATAATTAAATTGGAGTTGCTATGATTTTAAGATTTTTATTTGTCTGCAATGTATGCTTTTCCTTGTCGTTGAAAAAGGGATCTTGACAGTTTAAAATGTTATCTTGATTTTGTTCTTTAAATAAACCATTAAATGTGATCAATAATTATTATATCCACATTTTACTACATAAATTGCAATAATAACATAAAGAAAGAGACACTTATTAAGTAATTTTAGTGATATTTGACCCATCATTTTATAATATTATGAACAAGCATTATATATATAAAATGCAAAACTTTTCAAAAAGATTTTTACAAAAAGATCCAGAACATAAATATGATTATGACAAAAGAAGTTGCTTATACACTTCTATCACAGGATTTTCGATAAAAAGCACGGTTGTCTCGGGCGTCACGAGAAAACCCCCTACGGCTCGATCGCGCATCGAGGGATGCGCGTCTGTATTTCCCTCGCAATACCGTTACATCTCTCCCGCCGTCACGATATCTAGAACGAAGATGGACCGCGGCACGTGAAATATGGTAATTCGCTTGATAATGCACTCCATCTCCCCGGCGTCCGTCTGTGCATCGCGCGGTGCTCACCGCGTTCGCTCATAGCAATACGATCAAACCGGCACTGAAATTTGAAGAGGGTATCCGTGTTTCGCGAGGCATTTTGTTATGTCGTGACGGTTTGTCGCCCGTAGCAAGTACTGCCGTGTTTTTCGCGACTGTCAGTCGTCCCTCAAGAGACCTGAACCTCTGAAGATGCAGAGTATCATATTTTTAAGAAAAATCCCACAAAACAGTTGAAATTGTCTTAAAGGAGTTATATAATTATATTACATCACATTAATTATAATACCGTTAAAAAAGCGGTTTAAAAAATATAATATACAAATTTTTAAAAATTTCTATAAAATCTCTTGGCTGTTATTATTTCTTTACAATCTTTGTATTACTAGATTATCGTCTTTTTAAAATTTACATTTATCGCGATTTTATTTTTTCTAATTATTGCCCGTTCAACAAGAAGATTAAAAAATTTTCCAATATGATTGCACATTCAAGCGAAATGATGATTGCGCGGGGTGAATAGCAGTTTCATTATCAACACATCGGCGCGTCAAGAAGGATCTCGATCGGTTCGGTATCGGCTACGTCCCGGTTCGAGAGACGAGAGAAGGGCGCTAACGATAGCCGCTCGACGTGATTGGAATTGAGAAAGTTCCGGTCAACCGCGGCCGCACCGTCTCGAAAGTCGAAATACCGACTATGAACTCGGAAATCGATTCCTGCCCGGAATATATATCGTCAACGTGTCACCGCGTAACGAGGAGCTTTCGACGGAATAATGAAGTTTCCCCGGGAAAAATTGGGTCGTGCGCGCGAGTTCTTTTCCTTTCATCGGGCCGCGCTTTCGATCGATACTTTTATCTGATCACGCCGATGCAATCGCGCTATGAGCGCGAACCGACGAACAGCACGCCGGCGAAAGAAATACTCCACGCACGTCAAAGCAAATTTTGCGCCAAGCTCGCCGGTGCATCTCTCACCCCGCGATTGTAAACTTATCCCGAGAAACTCCAACT